TATTTTCTCGTGAACTCAGATATGATATTTTTAAAATAATAAACGTATAGAGCCTATTACTCATATTTTTCTATAGCAACATTATTATTGTATATATGATTAGTATGAACACTATGAACATCAAACGAAACGTAATTAGTGTTTTTTTTTTTTTTTTTTAGTATTTTAAATAATATTACAATCATTGTTTTTTGTGTGATTATAAATTAACTTCATTTTTAAAAAAGGTTTTGTTATTTATTCTAATAAATAATATAAGTGATTTGGTCATTAACTTTAATGAAGATTTTTTTATAACAGCGAAATGGATCTAGTTGTAATTTTGAGGTAGTCAAAATTGAAAATGATCGATTTTTTATAAAAAAATCAGGTAAAACTAAAAAGAAATTCAAACATAGGCCGTTTTTGTGCAGAGCCGTTTTTTATTGTATATTTAATGATATATCAATGTAAATTCAAATGTGATACATCCATTACAGTAGCTATTCAATAGGAGTCTGTAGTTTGCATTAAAATAAAGTTATGCAATTTGTACCATTGTATGTATCCGTAATTAATGATTGTAACTTGGATAAAAATTAGTGCCAATGTACGTATATGCTTATCTATTCATTCGACTATTTCGTCAGTGCCTTTATCGATACATTCACAGTAAAAAAAGGCTTGATGATTTAATTACAATAATAACTTTAAAAAAAATTAACCACTATATTTTTTTTCTTAGTTAAGCTTCGACAACTTTGACCATTAACTGTGGGATTTTTTTATATTTATTTTTGTTTGTATATAATTGTGTAGGTTTTTGGTATACGTGTTTTCCGAGTGTAGGACATGACTTTGTTACTAAAAGCTCGGGTGGTCATCCATCAACTAGCAACGCTCCATGGTATTTGACCATAAAACTATTTAGAAACTGTAGCCAAACATTACGCTACACCATGCCCCTAATCACTATAATATTAATTATTATAGATAATTTAATTGAAAATTTGTATATTAAGATACTTATCTACCAATCTACCAACTTCATGAGTTATAATATATTAGATTAATATTTTTGTTATTTAACTAAGTTGAAAATGTCTCATTGTACACTGGTTGATTAATTATAATATTGTAGTAATACAAAATTAAATTAATTTAGAAATACTCTGTGTTATTACCTTCTCATATCTTATCATCTCATACTTACTATCGAAAAATGTACGTAGTATCAAAAAAGTAATCGATTTGAATTACGAAAGTATTTCAAAAATTTTGATGCGTATTATTTAATAGCATGTTAATATTTTGTTCAAATTTTAGTGCAAATTAATTACACTTACTTAATGAAAAGGTGCAATCGACTTCTATTATACGGTAGAGCAGTTTCTATTTTATCCCCTTTGGAAAAAAAAGGTTAATTATGCAGTTATAACGGATAGTGTCACGCTATTTAAATTTGAAACACCTACCACTAAACGTCGACAGCAAAAGAAGCAATATTTTTGATGTGTTTTTAGATCAGACGTTTTGCACAATATATAAATAAATTCTAAATACCACAGTAGGAATTGCATCACACGTTGATACGAGTTCTTAACAAGATATAAAAAATATAACGTACAATTTATTGTGCTTAAAAAATATAAAACTCTTACTATCATTATTATACGACGAAACAATAAAGATTACACGTCTCGCTTACATATACATATTGCGTAAAAATATAGATATGTAGGCAATTAGAATAAAAATCGGACAACATTTTTATAGCTTTATTGTAAAGTCCAAAATTTTTCTTTAAGAAAAACATATTTTTTTATGATTTTAATAATATTATCAAATCATGTTAGAAAATCACTATAAATTCATATAAATACCTACAGTAAATTTTCTTATTTTTAAATTTAAATTTTTTATTATTATATGGCATTTATGGCATAAAATAAATACCTATCTATATTATAATATAATTTTGTAAACAAAGTATAGTTAAGTTCACGTAGGTTACACTAGATTTTTAAGCATCCTTTTGTGGTCGACGTTATTAATCTTGGTTTCTCAAAACTTTTTGGGTTCCTGAAATAAGTTCAGATTGCTGCCAGCGTAATTGATCTTCTTCATCTTCTGATCAATTAGTTTTCTCCCATTTACCAATTTAGCTTCTTCTTACAACTTTATCTCGGCATGTATAATATGTTGCAGGTCTATATCCTAATCACTATATAATTCATGTGTACGTTGAATAATTTTACAGTATTTTGTTGGCGTGTAATCGAGATTTGAGGCTTAAAGGTTGTTGTAAAGTGTATATATTTTACTGTAACGTTTAAACAACACATTCAAATAATTGATAAGTATATAATGATACAAAACTACGACCCGTTTTAATTATTTAATATAATTTTTTTCTTTCCTATCATCTCATATTTAAATATGACGTGTTAAATACTTTCATAATACTAAATCGTTTTAATTAACTTTTTAAATGAATAGCAAACATTTTATTTAAAAACTAAAACATATAAAACAGATAAATTATTTTCACAGACTAACAACCATTAAGTTAGAATTTTACAATATCAATAATTAAATTTATTCACGAATTATTAATATTATTGTTATTCTGAGTCTGCTTTCAATAAAATATAGGTCCTTTATAATGTATGGTTAAGACGTGTGTTGCAAACTTGCGGTAATTAAATAGTTAAAAAAATTATTTTAAATTCAAAAGTTGCCATATTGTTTGACAGATCTAAACGGAACCAATGACTTTAAATAGGTAGCTATAAATAACGACACGATAGTTAGATACAGTAGGGTCTCGTTAATCTGAACACAGCCTAATCCGAAAGACACGGTAATCCAAACGGGCTTGGAAATTGTCGCATTGCTATACTAATACAAACATGTATCATAATTCATAATAATATGCAATATATGTACTTATTAACTAGCTATTTATACATAATTATAATTATTTTATCGATTTTGATTGTATTCATTGTGTTTTCAACAACGAATTTTATGAATTAATACTGCAGTATGAATAAAGATTAATTTCAAAATTTAAATTTCAAGAAAATTTATTTATTTTTTTAAATCATAAGTAGTCCGAACAAATTGTTAATCCGAATGATCCCTTTTCCCCCAATCTTGTTCGGATTAACGAGACCTTACTGTATATACATTTTAAACCAATCGAATTGATATTCAACACAATAATTGAAAAATTGCAATTATACTGTTAACATTATTATTTGTTTAGCATTTAGTTATTTTATTATTTATTTTATAAAAGTATTTGAAAAATAAAAATAATTTAAAATTATAACCAAAATGATTTATTTGTAAGATAGTTGTAGTCATATTGACATCATTTAGTTTTGTGATAAAATTAAATTGTCTAATATTGACATTCATTTAAAGCCGTCAAGTCGATAACTCAATATGGGCTCTTAACTGAATGTAAAATTTTTTCTTTACTAGAAATTATTTTTTATAATATCAATATTAACCAAAACAATCCTATCATGGAGAATATTAGTATACTTATACATGTATAAATACATAGTACGTATGCGAAAAAACACACAGCAGCAATAATTGTTAAATCGAAACACTGAATCACAGTAATATAAAACAAGGTAGATGGGATTAATTTCCTATTAAACAACAGATAGGTAATTTCTAAAAAAATTGTATTATTTTAGTAGACTTCACAACTTACATTATAATTTTATTAGATTTTAATCAAAATTGAAAATGTTGTATTATTTTTTTTTTTTTTTTTTGTGGTTTTTTTTCTTCCTGTCAACGTGTCGTTGAAGACAAAAATGTTCAATTCTACAATATTATTGTTACACGTCACGATCAAGGGCTCAGACTTTTAAAGCTAAAACAATAACGATTCGTGTGCATACGTAAGCATTAACGTCACAATTTATTTTCAGTATAATGTGCATTTTTTTTATAAAATATATATTAAAATGTAAGTAAATACAAAGTATGAATGATCGTTTAAATATTTTTAAAATAATATGTAAAAATATACACTACATATATATTATTTTTTTATTCCTGCAGCTATAAGAATTATTTTTATCACAAACATATACAAAAATATAATATAAAAATTATATTTTAATTATTAAAAAGTTTATTCGTAGAAAATTGTGAATTATTTTACATGATAAAATTTTGTTTTGATAATTTTTAAAAAAGAAAAATTCAGACCTTTATTCGTACGATAGAATTGAAACTATTTGTTGAATTAATAAAGTATGCATCAAATATTAATATAGATATAATGTGTGTAAGAATTTATCACTGTAATATTTTACTTAAATTTATAAGATTAGATGTTTATTTTACATAAATATATACAATAAATACATAAACTGATATAACTTAATGTAATTATAGAAAAAAAGTTTTCTAAATTCAAGCATAAATCAATATATTTTTTGATTTCTTAGAATAGTATTTTTTTTTTTTTTTTTTTTGGTGAGTTTTAACTTTTAATGTGACTGCAATAAGACATTAAAATATTTAAAATATTGTAGAGATAAAAGTTTAATAATAGTTCTATTGGGTGTAATAGTGCTAATTCAAAAATATTATTAAATTGACCCACAGGTCAGTATTTTTTTCTGAAATTCTTTTTAAATGTTATTCTCAACAACGCGATAATATTAGTTTTGAGTTTAGTCTATGAGTTCAAAAGCCCTACCACAAACAGCGATTTAATAGATTATAACATAAATTGATTGTGTCAGTGTATTGAAAACCATTTTATCATTATTTTATAAGGTAATATAATACAAAACAAATACCTATGTAATATAATGTTATTACGTGCACATTATATAATAATATACATTTTCACTGAACATTTCTCTCAGCCCGGAGACGCGTAGCGTGGCGCTATTCCGAACTATAATATACGTTGCACGAGGGAGATGTTGCGCTTACCAGCGACGGAGCATTTTGAAAATCGACTGCGCTCGCAACAGTCATTGGCATCCCATTCGAGTGCGTCGTCCGCGTGACCAACAATCGCACAAAATATATTATAATAATAAATAATAATTATTATTATTATCATCATTATTATTGTAACCATTAATTTATAATATTATCATCGTTATTACATAGAGCCACGCGAGTGTTACGCATGCACGCATGCGAGTACAATTTTAGATATTAAATACCTAGTAAAATATTTTATTCCCGCGTAGTAAACCAAAATACGATATTAATTTGTATTGTTTTTTTTTTTTTTTTTTGTCAATTTAATTTTACACTCAACTATGATTTTTGGGTACTCGTGGATTTTCATCTGTACGTTGATTGCGTATTCCTGTAAGTATTGAAATGATAAGTAAACTAATGACTACTATAATAATATTACAATATATTTTGATGATGTACTATTAAAAACATGGTACCCTTGAAATACGTATATGATTCTAAAGGAATGTTGGAATAAACACGAAATATTTTAGACTTTTTTTAAATTATTTTGTTTGGTGTGTAACAATATTTCCAATAATTTTTACTTCTACAGGTTAGGTTAGGTTTTGTTTCCATAAAAATTAATTATAAATAAACATAAAATGACGTTTATAATGAATGTGTGTCAAAATCAGTCATTTAAAAAACATTAAACTATGAATTAATAAAGTGTATAGAAACGTATTGTTCAATTATTTTATATTATAGTTGACTTATTATGTATTATAATATTAAATTATAGTCTAAACATAAAATAGGTAAAGTTTTAGGTTTGCTAATTTCAATCGAAAAATTATTCATTAATAAGACTGCTCAAATTCAATAATATTTGGTTGTTATTTAAAATGTATATATCATTTTCACGTTAAGATGTCAATTTTATTAAATTATTTATTATATGATAATTTATTGATAAAATATATCTTAGAAAATTCTTTGGCTAATCAATAATGATGATGTTCAAACCAAGAAAAAGCATCTTTGGTAATATCATAATGAAAAAGCTATTTGTTACATAAAACATTATTACTATAATAATAAATTATTATCCCTTGATAATAAAAAAAAAATCACGTATTGTCTGAAAATAATATTTTCAATAATATGTTTTATTCGTAAAAATATACTAACAGACATTGTTATATACATATAAACATTAAGTAACTATATACAAACCGAGTTCTTTTCAATTATATCATTTAATTTAAAACTTGATTTAATATAGTACTATACATAACGGTTTAAGTACATTAAACTGTAAACTATAAAACTTGTCATTAGGCAGTAAATTATAAATAAATACAAACATGTTTAAAGATTTGTATACATTAATAAATGAATTTTTGTGTAATTTTGACATGTAGGTTTCACAAATATGTATAATATACATATAAACTAATCGATATAATTTTAGTGTTTGATTTATAATACGCTCTAAAACAAATAATAATGTTAAAACTATTGAACCTCATAAATATAACCGTGTAATATTTATGTAGAATATTAATTAATTCATAAATGGACAAACACGAAAGGTATAATCTTATGAATTATTGGTTAATTTTCAATATAGATTATAATATAAATTATAAACTAAGTACACCACAATGGTATATTTATATAAATAAGTATAATTCTTCTAGATGACTCTGCATAACTTTAATTACGGTGTTTTAGATTTTAAGGGGAGTGATAAATATACTTATTTTACAATGATTTGTTTTTTCTTTTCTTTTTTTTTTTGTGTTTATCAATTTTATGAGTGGTTTTGGATAAAAAGTTTGATTTAGTTTGTACTTAAGACAACAAAATTAAAAATTTCATTACTTTTTATAACCCGGAAAAATAAACAAAGAATTAAGAAAAAATAGAAATTTTCACACTAAATCAGTTTTTGACTAAATTGATTTTTTTAGTTTGTTTCAACTTTAAAAAAAATTAAGACAGAAATTTAAAATTTTCGTTAAGTGGGCAAGTGTTTATATTATCATTTTAAATGTATAGTATAATTTTTAAAAAATTGATTTTTTTTTTAAATTATTTATAAAAAATTACAATTTTCAAACATTTTTAGATTTTTTTTTTTATAAATGTTGATAAAAAAATTATAAATAGGTAAAAATGTTTAAAAATTAAAAACAGGGTTACAAATAAAGACTCATTTCTAAGTAAAAATATGTCAACAATTTATACTTACAATATTTTTTTTATAAACATACACATTTTGACAAAATTTGAAAATTTAAAAATAGTTTGCAGTAAGAACTTATAAAAAATTTGCTATTTGTACTTAAAATTTGAAAATTTAGCAGAAGGTTTCTTATACGTTTTAAAATCTATCTTAAAAAAATTAATTTTTTTATAAATATTCGAATTTTAAATAAATACAACAATGGATATTCATTCATGTATTATGTAATAACTATTTTTTCTCAAATGATTTTTATTTTTTGTTATAATTTAAAAACAATAAACTATAGATTCAATAATTTACAAAAAATGTTTGTGTTATAATTTTCGAAATATTTTAACTCTTTCTGAGCTTTATATAAGCATGAAAATTTACATAGTTTTTTTTTTTATAAATGTCAATTAAAAAATGTTTTATGGGCTTAAGTTTTTAAAAATGTAATACAAGATCCGTGATGATTTATCTTAACGTCTGTATAAAATAATTAAAAATTTATTGACACAATATTTTTTTATGACACTTTTGAAGTTAAATTTATACAAAATTTGTCAACGAAAATTAAAAACAATAAGTACTATGTAGTAAATAATTTATAAAATCTTTAGTTATTATATTTTAAGTTTAAAAATGTAATATTATGTTTCTCATAAATATTTCGTATCGGAATTAAAAAGTCTGAAAACATAAAAGCACAATTATTTTTTATAGATATTTGAAGAAGTTAAAATTTAAAAAAAAATATATATTTTAACAATGAATTACGATTTTAATTTTTTTTATAAATTATATACCTTATTTGCGGGGACTAATGACTTGCGTTTTTTATATTATTATACATTTTAATATATTATCTATTAATACTATAAAACTATTTTTACAATTTTATATTATTTTACTAAAAGATGTTACTATTTTTTGAGTTATAGAAGTTAGTATAATATATTATAAATAATTACATACTAATAATATAAAACATTAAATATTTTCGGAAAATTTTTCATTAATCTAATATTATACTAAAATAAAAATAAATAACTTTAATAGCTATAAAAAAAAAAATCAAATTATAAAATGTACTTTGTAATATAGGCCGAAACTGAAAGATTGTCTCTATTCAAAATCGTTTTTCGCATACAATGATATATAATTTAATTCAAATTGAATACATTTAACCAATTACAACGATCCAATGCGACACCTTATGTACTGCAGAGTGGTCCTCACTTTCCTACATTTTTTTTTTGAATATTATTACATTATTTTTAACCGATTACGTTTTTCTAAATGCATAAGTGCTATATAATTTTTTTTGTAATACAATATTCAAACTTCTTTGTTTTAATGTAGATAATAAATAAGAGATGATTAAATAATACTCACATTTTTAAAAACAATGAAATAACTTTTTTTTTAATTAACATTTTTAAAAATAGTATATTATTATTGATTTGAAAATAAATGTGGTTTAGTTTTTAAGGCTAGCTTTGATAATAATGTCCTCGAATTATAAAGTATTTTATTTTTTTCTATTTAAAAATATGTCGCCGAAATTAATATTGTCATAATATATAATATGTATAAAGTATAATATACTATATAGTATATATTATTACAAATACTCTCGCAATATATTTCTATTCAAATTATTTTAATTCAATTTTCATTATAAATTATAAACAAGCTATGTCATAAGATTGAACTAAAATAAATTTCAATTAACATATTTATAGTCTTTTGATTTTGAGAAACGTATTCAGATTTTTATATTCGTTATGATATTTCTGTATTTTATAATATTTTTTCTGTCGAGTTTTATCTATATTATATTAATTAGTGAACTTTTCGACATGAGTAATTAAGTAATTTCTGTTTTGTTAATTAACCTTACAAGAGAGGCCTCTTCATAATTTAATTTGGCATAATTTCCTTGATTTGGATTCGTATTGAACTATTTTGCATTCTTAATTGTATATTTATTTACAAAAAATAATTCATATAACAAAGGAATAACTACAATAAATCATAACAAATATACATTCAATGAGACAATATTATGATAATATGTTATATATTTACGAAAGATCAACCATATTAACAGACTAGTATTTTTACATATATATTTATAAATAATAGGTTAAAATTTAAGGATCAATTTCATTAAGTGGTTAAAATAATTTGCTTAAAAATGTTGTTAATTTTATACAATTTAAAAATACATTTAAATATTATTTAATATGATATAATTTATTAAAACTTTATTAAAATAATAATATATTAGTTGTCTGCAAAAGAGTAAATGATAAAACATAAACAAAGTTTATTGTAAATATATAATACTGTTCAAGTTTTCAATTAGGAATTTATATAAAATTTAATTTGGGTTGAAGTTACGAAATAGGTTTAATTAAAACAGCATTAAATTTTGTGACAAAAATTATAAGTTACCAACATAAATATTTAAAAATCTATTCCTTATACATATGAGTTTTTATATAAACTAATCGCTTGTGTACCATTACATATATCTTTATTAAAATATTAATTGTAATAATAATAAAAAAGATACATTTTAAGTTATATTAATTTACTATTATATGAAATCTAAAAACATAATATACAAAATTTAAATACATTTTACCAATCAAATCCATTTTTTAAGTACTTTTATTTAAAAAGAAAAATAAGTTTTTTCTAGTATTCAAACATTATTTGTAGCGTGGCACGTATCTTCTTAGAGAATATTTATATTTTATAAACATATTATAAACATTAAAAATATAATATGACTTAGGATTGTTTTATAATAAGTATTTTACGTTGAATATTTATAATATAGTATAGGTACGAATATCATTCACTATTTCGTTTAACAGTACCTATTTACATATATGTCTAGTCATATTAAAATCACTAATAAAATGTCAACATTTCAACAATTCTAATAGTAAATCGATCAATTTTATTAAGGTTTATATGTGTTAACTGACGAGAAAATAAAATAAATACTTGTTTGTATGTATACAAGCGCAATTTAGATTTGAGTCATATAATGATTACCGAGTAAATATTTACAAGCAGAATCGGCATAGAACTTTCCCAGCTTAACTACAAATGATTCCATCATGTACTATTTACCACTAAAAGAAATCTTTCAATT